TCAAAAAATAAACCACAGAATTGATTTTTTAACGAACATGCACCATAGTTCTAAAAATTGTTTCCTTAAGGTCCTTAGAAGATATTTTAATGTTAATCCTTTTAATTCAAAGAGTTATTTTCCTAGACCATTTCTTTCTCTTGTGTTTTCTCTGATTTGCATTCATATAGTTTAGCTACTTCTGTTCCCATTTGAGTTTTTGTTGACAGGCTTCAAAAATAGCATTTATTTAGCTCCTTTTGCCAATGCAGTGAGTTATTTAACTTTTTAACCACTGCCAGTCTAATCCATGTGACTACAGTGTGCCTGCCCAGCCACTCCTGGGGTTACCTTGAACACTGTCTTCTTATAATCCCATCCTGTTTTCCTTTCAGATTCCCACCAAGCCAGATTCTCACTCAGACTGTTAGCTCTGCTAAGACTTGGAGCTGCTGTCAGCTCTGATTAGATTCTATTCCTCACTACAAGCCTATTATGGAATGTGCTTCCATAATAAAATTTAGTCTGAAATAGACTGTGTGCTAAAGGTCAAACTAAGATAGCCTTTGGCTTCCCCCTAGATTCTAAATTGACTTTCTAGTTCATGAATCTCTTTTATATTTGTTTGCAGGATGGCCTAACCTTAGTGGAATAGAGTTCTGTTAATCCACCTATCTAGCGCCATTGTTTCTGGTGGCTTTACTCGGAATGGGTTGGATTCTGGGAGTCTAAAATCCTTGCTGCCCTAAAATTAGGTAGTCAGGATCATTGTATCTCCTTGCCAGAGCCTCCTCTGATACCTCTTCTCTTAATCATACATGCTGATGCCCTTCCCTTTGGTTAACGTACAGAGTTCTGTTCTTGGGTTGGTCCCTGATATACTTCTGTAACACTAGTACCATAAAGGGATGGGGCATCTCTTCAGGATATTGATTTACAAGAGAAAACTAAGACCCCAGTGAGTCCCCAGAGATTACAGTAGAAGTGAGTCTCAATTAACAGGCTTTTATTAAGCACCTATTATGTAGACTCAAATAGCATATAATGTGGCTGGGGAGATGAGTCATGGACTCACGAATAGGATATGGAAAGCAGTTCATGATGTGTGCCAAATAAATGGTACATATTTTCAAATATCATAGGAGTGTGTAATCAGATAGCAATCACCTCCAGCTGGGATAAGCTTGGAAGGCTTCTTGGACAATTTCAATTGAGTTTTCAAACATAGGAAGGATTCAGGCCATTGAAGTGATGAGATACTACCAACGAAGGAAAAGGCATAAACCAAAAACAAAGTATAAAATAGGTTTTGGGGACAGTGAGCACACACATCGCCTGGAATGGAGGTGTTTTGGGTATGCAGGTCATAAGCCTTGTCATACTCAGAGACCTCTTCTTTAGGAAGCTGCCCAGCCCATACGTAGCCTTCTGCTCGGAGAATAAGCCCCAGCACCACCACCCCTTCATTAATTGCACAGATGGATAATCAGTGGTTAAACTGCATTTGGGCAAGTGACTCAAAAGCAATCAAATCAATTACCACAATGGTGTCCTTGCATGTCAGCCTTTCTCCAGAAGAGATGATGGTGCTTAGCTCAGCTATTCATACCAACTGCCTTGGAATTTGAAGACTGGTCACATACATGATAGCAAAGGGAAACAAAGACAACGTGACAGGGAGATGATCCCTCATCCACTCTCCTTGTACCTTTTTTTAAAAACATGTTTTTTATTGAGATATAGTCCATGTACACTCTTCTTATATCTTGAGTCTCTCTTTGCATCCACAAGAAGCTACAGACCCCAGGGTATCCATATATGAGATGGGGAGATGAAGGGTTATGGGGCAGGGCCCTGGAGTTAGGCTCTTACCCATTGCCTTAGAATTTGCAGAAAGATCTACAATGCCTCAGTTTCCCTCCCTCCATGGCTAGAGAAAATGTGAAAGTGGGCTAACGTGAAGGGAAGATGGAGGTAGGACAGAAGACTTGCTATCTTTCAACATACGAAGCTTCTTTCCAAGTTTACAAATTGCAGGATTTAACTTATTCATGAATAGTGTTACCTGGAGGTACACATATCTCCATCTTCACTTAGACAGTATAGAATAGGGGCCAGAGCCCCCAGATCTGGTGCCTGAGTGTTTGGAATTGAATCCCACCTTCCCTGCTATTAGCTACATAACCAAGGGCAAGTTATTTTGTTTCTCTGTACCTCAGTTTCTACATTGAAAAACAATGAGGAGGATGACAATAATTATATCTGCCTCATCGGGTTTTTTGTTATAAGAATTAAATAAAGTGCATGGTGCATAGTAAGAACTATAAAAACACTGTAAAATAAACTTAGCATATTTTTATTTTCAAAGATTCTATGTAAGTACAGTGGGTACTGGATGTCCCCTCAGCCTCGGCTCCTAAGGACTTAGGTAAAATACTTGGAGTCATTTTCATAGTGAATATAGTATATGATGGCACCAGGAGTCCTTTTGGGATACTGTCCCAGTCGAATATATAAAAAGATCAATTAAAACACGGCATCCTAGAATTTCGTTCTTCCCACAACACTGGGCAGCAGGGAGAGAAAACTATGGGAACTTGTGTCAAGAGCGGGAGCCCCACAGAGGGACAGCAGCTCCAGGGAGTCACAGCAGCCTCTGCGCCTTCGCTGTGCACCTATACGCATGGCTGTGCCACGTGGCATGTTTGAGTTAAGGGAGAACATTGCAGGGGATTCAATTCCTTCTTCAAAAGGAGAGTGCAAGGGCCAGCCATACAGAGAAGACATTGACGAGGCATTTTTAAAATCACTTGTAATTTGAAGTTCTCTAAAAAAAAAAAATACTAAGAAGAAAAAAAGCAATACCTAAAACGCCTGCCTCAGCAAGCTGACAATCACTGCCTTGGCACTGACTCTGTCCCCATACCGGGAGCCCGCAGCAGGACACTTGGAGCCCTGCAGCTCTGAGATGGAGAGAAGGTTCTTTCACAGCAGCTCTGGGGAGCAAGAGGCCTAGGGAGCAGAAGCCAGTGATCGGCAGTCTTCTGGTAGTGGCAGGGAGCAACAAGACAAAGGTCGTATATGCACCGGTTTTTAATGCTAATCTGGTTTCCGGTCTCATCTAGCACACTTGCGTCTCACATAGGTCTGTCTTTCTTTCCAGGCTCCCGGGGGAATCTTTTCTGACTTTAGATCCATTTTATCCTTCCTTTGTTCCCAGACACCTAAGGCCTGGTGAAGCCTTACTTCTTGAACGTATGCCCATCTGCACTCTCAACACATCCAGCGTCTCATTTTAACACAGCTGATCAAAGCAAGATCTTTATTTCCTTGAATCTGCTCTATCTTAAAAACCTCCTTCCTCTTCTGGTTTCAATTGTCTGCAGTCTATTCAAAATACTTGAAAAGACTTCATCTTCCCAAGCATCACTTTATCACAGTATTTTCTTTCTTAGAATCCTAGAGTTGTTCTTTATTGTTTCCTGAATCCTATTAAAATCTAAGACTATGGGCTTTATTGCCTTCCAACGACTGGACCTCCCACTTTTCCACATTTCATTCCAACCTGACTGCCTTATTTCCTGTTATTTTACCACTCTGCTACCAGCAGAGGGCCTCTCACACCCAGTCACACATGTGACATCTTCCATTTGAATACCATTGCACCACTCCTTACCAGCCATATCTTTAAAAATCTTCAGTCTGATGGCTTTCACTCAAAACTTGCTTATAGTTAGTTTTCCCAAATAGCACATAATTTTTCTTCTTTCTTCCTCACTCCCTGAGAATTCCACCATTACAAACACAGGGGATGATGAAGAAGACGATGATGATGGTAACTTTCATGAACAAAATAAT